TGTTTTCGCCTTTTTTTTTTGTTCTTCGCCCGCCGTCTTGGGGCTCCGTCCCCCGCGGGGGGGGCTGGGCCGTTTTTCGTGGGACCGGCCGCCGTCTACCGCGGGTTCCGGCGCGGGGGGAGGAGGGTGGTCGCTGGAAGCCTCTGCCGCTTGTCCCTTTCCTTTTCTTTGCTGCTTCTCTCTTTTTTTTTGTTGCTCTTGCTATTTCTCTTTCTTTCTCGTCGTCGTTGTTGTTATGTTTTTTCTTTTGAAGGTTATGAGAAGGGTGCGCCGTGTTTATGTAGTTTTGCCTCATCTTCCTCCGATTTTGTGTTTGAGGCGCTACTTAGTGGAGGATGGGAAGGAAAATGATGAAAACGGTCAGGAGCCTGATTCTCTTAGTAAACTAAGAGAAGTTGATCCTTTCCGTGTAGGATACAACATGGGAATGCAAAGCGTTCATCTAGAAGCTATTCGAATGAAGTTGACAGATAATTTGGAGCTCTTTAAGTCGCATTTCCATGCACTTACCGATATACTGAAGTCAAATCAAGATCAAGTTCGACAACTCCATGAACAATGTAACAAGGCGATTCTTCATGAGCTGAATGAGTCCAATACCCAACTTTTTTCACAACGTTCCGAGTTCGAACGACAATTGAAAAAGTTGGAGGAGTCGTTAAAAAGTAATATTGAAGACAAGGTAGTTGGACTTCAGGCACACATTGATGATCGTTTTGAAAATTTGAAGGACGTGATAAAACTGGGCTTTGCAGTACTTATTTTTCTAAATCTATGGATGTTTTACACAATATCACAAAATCATCGCCAATATATGAATGCTCAAACGACACATGCTTTAGCTTATTTGCCTTATCAAGGTAAGAAGTAAAGAGTATTTTATATTGGAAACAGTAGTGAATTTCCTTTATTCATCTCTATGTTAATAATAATAATAATAATAATAATAATAATAATAATAATAATAATAACATTGCTGTTATTTGCGTTATTGTTTTTATTGTTATTATTATTGCTATTAATAGTAATCATGTGTTCTTCTTTTTTTACTTTTTTTTACACTGTTATATGCATATATAGATGAACGTGATCTGCGCTTATTCATTCTTACTTAGTTTTCGTGCTGAGTTTGGGCTTAATTGCGTGCAAAATTATTCTGCGTAATTTTGAGGTTTTCAGGATGGTTGCTCCAGCTTAATTGTTTTTTGTTTTTTTTTTGCTGTCCTTGATCGTTATAGCTTGTTTTTAAATTTGTCTATTTGCTTTTCTTTTTTTTCCTCCTTTCTTCTTTTTTTCATTTGTGTTTTGCTTTTTTTTTGTGTTTAGATGAATGAATATTCCAATAGCGTCATGCTCCCAGCAAAGGGCCGTGGGAATACAAAACATTCTATGTTTATGCACAGTAGATGAAAATAGGGTGTTGCTAGCTTGTTTGGGTACTACTGATTTATTTCTCTTATCTATTGATAACATGGCGATTGAAATCGAATGTATTTATGCGGTCAATTTAAGGACAGCAGCAAGAAAGCTGAGGTACGTTTCTGCAGGAGATGTGACTTTTATATTGAGCGACAGTAATCTCTATTCGGCCCGTTTGACGAAAGAATCAGTGAATTCAATTCAGGCGATATTTCCAGTGAGCGAAGGAGTAGTTGCAGACTTTGACGTTGTTATTATGAAGGAGGGTCTATGCATCTCCATATTGGAGGTATTTGACGTATCGGTTTTTCTTTATACCAAACATGGTAAATTTTTGCTTAATCGCTTTAAGGTGGGAAATATTACTGCATGTAACTGGGTAACATCAGATTGCTTGTGTTGCTCCGGAGAAAGTATGTTGCACATTTACGCTGCTGATGGTACGTATCTGCTTCCTTTAGGTTCAACTACAACACCAGCACATTATGCGATTCCCTTACTCGAGTATTTTTCAACAAGTGATATGATTCTATGTGCTAATAAAAGGAAAAAATTTGCTGTCCTTTTTGAAGACAGTACTTCGTATTTTGCTTATTATATGGTTTTATTTTCCCAGTTGGGCGAAGTCTTTACAGAATTGTTTCGATTTCCGGTTTTTAGTATTTCATTGCCTAGCTGTGTTTTTTCTGCTGGACCATGGCTCTGTGTTGGGGGTTCTTTTGGGTTAGAATTTTACGACTATAGAACTGGATCTTATGTCCAATCCTCATTAGAGACCGAATCATGTGGTGATTATTCTTTTGCAAATGTTTCTTTTGATGCCGCCCTTGTACCCAACGACAAACTCTACTCAAGACCAAGATTTGGTATGGTTGTTACTAAAAATGCGCTTTATGCATTGCGTTTGCGGTCAATTTTAGATATTGTTGATGAATTGAAAGATGATGCTGCGTTTCAAACGGGTTTGTTGGAAAGTTTAAAGAGTTTTGGTAAATCCGTTCAGGCGACAAATTTAGTGCGGTCTCACTATCGGCATGACGCCATATCAATTTCCAATATGTTGTTTTCGGATTATGGTGCAATCTTGGCTGGCTTTCAGGTATCTCTATGGGAATGTAGACCAGGAAATAAAGATGTAAATAAAAGTAAAAAACGGAGTTCATTATGTGCTTTTTGTGGCTTGGAAGGATTATTTAGCTTGCAGTTTTACGACTGTGTATTATGTCACTCAACTGTTTGTAGAAAATGCTCCTATATACGAGATTTGCGTTTGTATGGATATTATACTATGAGTGGCAAAAGTGTGGTTTGTGCTGACTGTGATGGAAGGTGCGATCGTAACTTGTATAGGTTATTTATGGCACGTCGATATAAGCAAATTCTTTATTACATAGAAAACTACCCTGAACGATGCTACAAGTTAATTCTTTCTGAAGTTATTCCTTTCGTTCTGGATCAATGCTTTGGTGAGAAAAAGTTTGACCTTTGTGCAGAATTGGTTGAAAAATATATATCAAAGCATGATATTGTGTGGGACCAATGGATTTTTCGATTTGGCTTACAAAGACATATTGGATGCCTGGCCCGAGTTTACAACCCCAAGAACTCCGATGGAGCTTTAAATACAAGATTTTTACTTCAACTTGTAAAGTATGATAGTTATGAACTGGATATGCTATTACAACACTGGCCGCGTATGTTGTATAGTGCTGAAGTGATTTTATCTGGTATTCTCGCACGTCTTTACTTTAAGAAACAAGAAGCTTGTGGTGTACAAGCGTCATGCCAAACAACCAAGTTGACCTTCGTGGAATGGCAGAATGCTTTAAGCGAGCTTTATTTTGAGGATGACGTGATTCACTTACTTCGGGCCTATCTCCATATTTGTTTTCAAAATGAAAAATATATGGATGCAGCAAAAGGCTACATGGAGTATTTTGTTATGATGCTTCCTTTCACAAGAGATCAACGTCAACGAAGCTATGAAGTATTTGAAGGATATACCCTGCGTGCGCAGCCCTTTCGCGAATTTCCACCTCACAATCTTATTCATTTGTGGGATTTATTGACAAGCCATAATATACTTGAGGAATTTATTTGGTTGAAGGACTCTAGTGGCACGACTGTTTTTTTAACCCCACTTCTTATTTACTACCGTGAAGAATTTGGACGCTACCTGATTGATTCTCTTCATGCAGATTTTCTTGAAGAGATATTAAAATTTACTGCTCATGAATTGAAAGACCAGCCAGTCCAACTTTTACATGTCCTTGATGCCCTTACGAGAGTGTCACCTCTATCAACACGCTCATATCATGCACTTATGGCGGAGCTTTACGCGGAGCATGCACCAGAGAAACTATTGGCCTTTATTCAACATCCTCAGGTGGGTGGATTAAATTTGAAAAAAATTGCTGAAATTGTTGAAAAACAAAAGCTATTTCGAGAACTTGTTTATATTGTTGGTAAAACTGGGAATGATCTTGAGGCTGTTCGCATGGCTATTCGATGCATCAAAAGTGTCCCTCTTGCAATGGAATACATAAAGGATCACCCTGATGATACTCGTCTTTTGAACTTGGTTATGGCGAACGTGATTCAATCGCCCATTCTTATTGGTGACTTTTTAGACGCAGCGGGCGATTTTGCGGACATGAAATCATTTTTGCAATCCATTCCTTCACCAAATCGTCTTTATGTTCCTCATGGTGGCCCCCGCGTGAAGAGAGTGCTTCAAGGCAAATCGTGTCTTGAACGAATTTCGAAGTCTTCGTTAGATTCTATCTTGTTAGATACTCGCGTTTCACTTATTCGATTGCGACAACAAAAGTGCAGGGGGACGCGTTGTATACCAGGGAACTTTTGCAGTTCATGTGGTCAAACTATTTTAGGGGATTACATGGTAAATAGTACCGGAGCAGCCTTTCATACAGGTTGCGCTTCCCCCTTCTTTCTACAGTGCAAAAGGCATGAAAAATTAGTACGCCACCAGAATGGGAAGCCATGGATGAGTGAGGAGAGCGCCTCTAAAATGGATTACGTTGAGTATTATACATATAGATCTCTCGGTAGTTCTAATCCAATCAAATTGTTGCCAGAGGAAGAGATTTATCGAATACTTTCCTTTTTGTCCCCCCACGAACGAGAAGTTTGTCGGGTTGTGAGTCGTGAATTCCGAAGGTCAATTAAATCGTTTTACCTATTTGCCAAGAGAGAAGATGATAATGCCTTTAGTCGTTATTCTGCTCGGTTGGAAAGTGTGGGAGAGAAGAATTGCAGGTGTACCTTACACTTGGGAAAAGTATCTGTAGTTACTTCACTGAAAGGTGTACAACAACATCTTGGCGATGCCGTTTAGCTGGAGAGTTTCATATGTATATTGCTTTGATCGTATTTAATTCACGTGTGGCAAAGATGCAGCTAGAAGAAATAATAGTAACAATAATATAGCCAATAAGTGCATACGAAGGGTGTGAGCTTTCTTGCCGGTGTTGTGTTATTTTATTTTAGGTTTGTTTTCGTTTCCTCACTCCCCCTGTCTGTTTTTTTTTTTTTACTCCTCACTATGACAATGAGTTAGGAAACAGAAAAGAAAAAAAGTGAGGGAAACACACTTACAGGTCCAAAAAAAGAAACAAAAGAGAGAGATAGGGAGAGAGAGGGCAGCTGGGCGTGCGTGTGTGTGTGTGAAGCTTATTATTAATTACATTAAAACCCTATCGGGCAACATGCGTTACAGACACGTTGAAACCTCTACGCATGTACCCCGGTGGGAACAAAAGGAAGTCTCAGAGTTCTCGTTGTGTCGCCTTTTTCTGTTGCATTTTTTATTTCCTGTTGATGCCCGTGTCTTTTTGTGCGTGTGTGTGTGTGTGCCTTAGTACAGGTGAAGTTTGCCAGGCAAGACTGCGCTGTGCTAATGGGTCAACCTCAATCGACTGCTAGGGAGGAACCATACACGGAGGTGGTGCAAGGGAGGAAGGACGAGAACACGCCCACCTCTTCACAGGCCTTGCCTCCTTTAGCTTCCCCAAGTGATGGGTCTTTAACCGCACACGTTATGGCCTGCCCTGCACCGCGTCTACTGGGGTTTGCTCCTGGGGAAGAGGTACATTGTATTTTGCCAGAATCGCTTAGCGCAACAATTGCCAACGCCCTTCCATCGAGTTGCCGTTCGGTTGCTCCTCAAGAACCCCAATGGCACCTACTCTACAGTAGTCAGATTCATGGACGGTCGTTTCAAAAGCTTGTCCAAGGATTAGTAGACAAGGGTCCAACCTTGATTGTGATCAAGGCCCAGGATTCAGCAAATGTTTTTGGTGGCTTTTCTGTGGATTCTTGGCGGACAGTTGCCGCGCGAGAAAAACAAGACAAGAGTCGTTCTGCGGCTGCTCGACGTGCAGCCCGCGAAGGACATGGCACACAAGGCGTCACTCATCGACCTGTAAACCAAAATAAGGCTTTCTTTGGTGGCGAGGGCTGCTTCTTATTTACCGACAAGGATGGCGGTGTAATTTATCGCGCGAAGCCTTCTGTGAACTCAAATTTCATGTATTTTTTTGATTCGCATCCTCTTAGTGACAAAATTGGGATTGGCATGGGTGGAGAGCCCGGACATTTTGGTTGGTTTCTAGACCGTTGGCTAGAGCGAGGGGCTTGCCACGGTGTGCGTTGCGCCACTTTTGGCAACCCCCGTCTCACTGACGCGGAAGAGTGGCAGATTGACGTCGTGGAAGCCTACGCGGTGCTACCGAATATCGTTGAGGCGCTTTCAAAAGCACCTCAAGCAACGGTTGAGGATGAGTCTTGCTTGAAGAAGCACACCAACGACGCAGACAAGGTGTTACTCCAGCTTTCTGGGTTTCACACATTTGACTGTCAGGAGCGACCGGAGTGCTGAAAAGAAGCTTTTTTTTTTTTGTTGTGTGTGTGTGTTGTTGTCGTTTTGGGAGGTGCTGAGGAAGCTACAGCCAAAGATGTTGAGAGAAGACTGCGAGCGGGAAAAAGAGTGTAAGCCAGCGTTATTCACTGCCAGTGGTGATGTGGTGTTGACCACGTGTCGAGGACGCACTGCTAAAAGTAAATGTAGGAGTGAATGAGCATGCGGGCGATCACTTGGGAGGGAGATGAGGAGAATAAGGGTGCATAATGTGAATGTAGCCCAGTTTTTCGTTTTAGTTTTATTATTTTTTAGAGGCCAAGTAAAAGGCGCGCCGCTGGATGGGGCTCAGCAGGGAATAGCGCTTCGTTGTTGATCTGTACTCTTGGTCTATGACTTGATCTCCCTTCTGAGGGAGACCGCGCTGAAGGGCAACGTGTGCAGTTCCTTCTGCCCCTGCTACTCCCCGCGCGAAGGGGGGCGGCGGTTGCGGGCCCCTAACGACTACCACTCGGTGGGCGGATCCCGGGCTTTGTGTTATCATGCCATGGGCTGTTTCCACACATTAAAAAAAAAAGTATACGCGTGTTGGTTGGATTTTTTGAGGGTAGAGAAGGCTGGCCAAATTGAGACAAGCTGTGGGTGTTCATTCCTTTTTTTTTATTGCCCGCATTGTGGAAGCATTGGGAAGGGCCTGAGCAAGCTGGTGGTTTTTTTTTTTTTGGACGGTATCCGTGCGCATGATTGCGTCCCCAATGAAGAAGGCATTGTGGCTGGCGTTGGGTTGGCGCGTTACCTCGGCGGAGTTGCTTCTGTCCTTTGCCTGACTGTGCGTTCCTTCGCGCGGCACTGGCTGCTCGTGACGGAGCGTGCTTTCTCCTGGCGGTGGTCGTTTCTGTGCGTGTCTGTGTGTAATGACCACACACTCTCGCTCTCTCCCCGTTCTGTTTCCTCTTTTCTAGGCTTTTTGAGCGGCGACCGTGAAGTTGCTCTTTCCTGTGCAGGCCCAAAATGGGCTACAGTACGGGTTTGCTGGATTGCTTCAGTGACTGTGGCACCTGCTGTGATGTGTGCTTCTGTTTTTCATGCAACCTCAGTCGCCAGTGCAATGCCGCTGACGGCACGCCCAACGACTGTGGTTGCTGCTTCTGCATAGGGGCGTGCATCTTCCCCACTCTTTCGGCATGCATCCTTCGTCAGAAGGTCACGTCGAAGTACAGTCTGGGGGAGGGTGCGTGCTGTGCCTGCCTGGCCGGTTGCTGCTGCACGGGATGCTCAGTGTGCCAGACGCACCGCGAGCTTACGCTGCATGGTGCGAATCCTGGTGGCTGCTGTTGCCAACCGCACGCTACTGCTATGCAGTAGAGGAGCGCTGCCGTTGATGTGGCCGGCGACGTTTGGTCTGGAAGCATGTATGCATCCCATT